GGGAAAAATCACCGAAATGTCAAACCAACGCTGCACTTTTCGATCGTTAAGTATTCTCCCCAAATGCCTGGTTTATATAGCGTGCAGCTTTTGCAGCATTATTAGCAAGTTTATACTCATATAAAAAAATTACATGAATATCGATTGAATTCATATCCTTACGAAATTCAAAACAAATAACAAAATGGAACACTTTTGAGAAAATTTTCTTTGTTGAAATGTGACTCTGGCAATGGACAACATGACTATAAACGAGGTTATGCCAAAAACAAAAGCATAACGAAAACAGGGAGACAAACGTTCATATGTAAAGAAAATCCGACATTTCATATGCACCAATCTAAATAATATATATATAAAGCTATATAAGCACGTGTCGGGTATTCGATATATGTTCAGATAGACCGACTACTGGTAAAAATAGCTCTGCTACATATCCGCTTTTCCATATACATTCGTACGAAATTTTTGGATGCCAATATGGAAAACCTGATAGGATCATATATGACGGATTGAATCCGGAAAAATGGGTTGAAAACTATTGAAGTCAGATCTATTAATTTTTAGAGAAATAATCTTATCGAATTTTCTGGATACAGCCATATAGGCCGGATCTTCCATATACGTTTGGATAGACCGGCTATTGATGAAAATAACTTTACTACATATATACGCTTTTCCGTATACGTTGTAACGACGCGCCCTCGAGAAATACATTGTTCCCGGCCATCAGCAAGATGCCACTGTATTACATGCAACGATGCGGGCGCGCCTGAATATTTTTTTAAAAACTGCAAACATAATTCGCAGGTAACAGCTGAAGTCCCGTGAGAAACCGTGACGACCGAACGCTGCCGAGTGCTACCCCGCGACAGATATCTGTATCGTCACGCATGTGAGAGTACCGCTTGGCGAGAAAATACGAACCGAATCCGCGACACTGCCAAAAATCCATCATATAAAAGGCCGCAAATTTTCACAAAGAGGCTTTTTCTTGCTCCGACTTCCACCAGATCCTATAGACTCGATAGCAATCCTGATCTGCTACGAGTATCTTCCTGCCGCGAAATTTCGGCCGACATCGTGTTCAGAGGGTGAAGCGGACTTCGCTCGGCGTTCTCAACACACTTGGAAGCCGCTTCTCGCAGTATCCGCCGAGTGGACGAGACAAGGGGATAGAGAGTCTCTGCTTCTATTGAGCGTTTCCGATAGTCGAAAGGCATAATCTGCAACCTTACACACGACGCGATCGGTAAGAGCAAAGGGGGTGGAGTGTTCTCCGTTGAGTGTCTCAGCCGCCGGTCGCGCCCGCGCCTACACTCAAGTGTGCCATAAACACATTCGAATCTTATTCGCGTTTCGCGCGGCCGCGCCGCGATCGTATTGGTGTGTACCTGCGCCGCGCTAGCATCCGTCCCGCGTTATCGTGCCGTGACACCAGGGCGCACCAGCGCTTGGACCCGCGTTTTCACATTATCGCGTGCAGCGAGCATTATCATTATTCTAGTGTATCTTCTTTTGTTGTATTCTAAATTATCTGTTAATATCGTGCTGTATATAATAAAGCGTGTTTGTATTTCGTCTACATAATTGCATTCATTTCTCTGTAAGCGCCTTCTCTCTCCGCAACGAATTCTCTCTCCGAACTTCTTTCGTTTCCTGCCCGACTAATTTGTCCGAGCTATTCCGCGCAACGGAAGTCAGGTTATTTCAACGTTCGTACGAAGCGAAATAGATAAGTTTGGATATCAATATGGAAAACATGGTAGAATCATATACAGCAGATCATATCTAATAAAGTAGTTAGAAAATTATAAGTGATCTATGTGAAATTCTGTATATATTCATATGGAGCATATAAAACATCTGAATATGGATATTTAATACGAGCGTCGAATAAGGTTCATATCAAAATGTATATAAAATTATAGAAAAATATTTTCAGAAATGGAAAAACATATACAATACTATAAAAATGTATAATTTTTTGGTCATTTGTACTGAATGTCATATGTGATACGTTAGAATCGGCGATATTCTTTTTCGTAATGTATCTATTTCTATCGATTTTTTTAAACCAAGGAGCGATCGTTGATAAATGAAAAGTCACAGTAGGTAGAAAAGTTTTGTTTAATATGTCAGAGAAAAAAAGTTTAGAGGAAAATAGAAAAAAAGGATAAGAAAGGAATAGGAAGGAGTGAGAAAAAGAATGAAAGATTTAGTAGAAAGGAAGGTAGCAAGAATTAGAAGATATACAAGAAGATATGGATAGAGAAATCAGAAAATTAAAAGAGGAAGGGAGGAAAAGAGAGGAGATGGAAATTAATTAGTGGAAATTAAGGCTCCTGACTAGTCGCAGCGGGATTCCATGTTGGAATCGTAATATCAGAAGCAAGGAATGACATGTTAATTTATGTTGCATGCCATTTTTAAATAAAGACAATTTGAATGAAATGAAATGACGAGATCACTTTAAAACACTTGCAAAAATCGATGAAAACTGTCCTCTGCAAGAAATGGAAGAAAGGTAAAGAGATCAAGGAAAAATGGAGAAGAGAGAATTCAGAGCTTTATTAGAGAAAAAGTAAAAAAGAGAAAAGGAAAGTAGAAGAGAAGGAAAGGAACTGAAAAGAGAGAGCCGAATGTATGGAAGTATATAAATAGGAAGAGAGGTAAGAAAGTATGGAAAAAGAATACGAGGGCAAGTCAATAAGTTTTTAGAAAAACATAGTAAAACACACATTTTGATCGATTCATTTTTATTTCTCACTCCAACATAGTCTCCTTTCAGCTTGATCCAACGATTCTCCAACTTTTTCAAGCCGTCCGAATAATATGATTTATCCAATCCTTCAAAATAAGCCTCTGTTTCGGCGATGAGCTGCTCTCTGGTGGTGAATCTCTTTCCTCCGAACCATTTCTTCAGGTTTAGAAACAGGAAATAGTCGCAGGGGGTTAAATCTGGCGAATATGCTGGATGGGGAAACAATTCGTAGCGGAATTCGTTGAATTTGGCCATCAGTGCCGGGTACGTGTGAACCGTGCATTGTCTTGATGGAAGAGCATTTTCTTCTTCGCCAAATGGGGACTTTTTTTTCTTTAAAATGTTGTTGAAACAGTTCAATAAGATTGCGTAGTAATCGCCATTGATCGTTTACTTCGGCGGAAGGTAATCGATATGAATTATACCGCGTGCGTCCCAAAAAACTGTGGCCATCATCTTTCCGGCCGACTTCACGGTCTTCGCCTTCTTCGGAGCTGGTTCACTTGATGAAGTCCATTGTTTTGACTGTTCCTTCGTCTCGAGTGTGAAGTAATGGATCTATATTTCGTCCACAATAATGAATCGATGCAGAAATTCATCTGGATTACATTGGAACATTGTTTTGAAATCGTCACACGATCGCGCTTATGGTCCACAGTGAGCAAACGCAGCATCTTGCCGATAGCTTTTTCAACCCAATTGTTCGTGCAAAATTGAAATCACTGTGCCATGTATTAGGTGTTGGAATTAATTCGTAGCGTTTTACAAGTGATGGGAAGTACTTTCATTAATGTATTTTTTAATGCTCATGTGAAATAAATAACATTCTTTCATTAAAAAACGTTACGAATTAATTCCAACACCTAATAATATGCCTATGGCCTCAATAAGCACTTTCACTCGTCGATCAATCAAAACAATATCGTGGATTCTATCGATGATTTCTGCGTAGCAGTCTCAATTGGTCCCGAACGAGGTGCATTACATGTGGATGTATGACCACGTTTAAATTCATTCACTCAATTGTATACAGTCACAAACGCTAGTGCAGATGTACTATGAACATTATCCAACTTTGATTTCTTTCGGCGTTAAACGCCAACTTTCATATGTAGATGTTTGATCACTGCACGAAACTCATTTTTTTCCATTTTGCATAAAACACAAAGGTTGTTCGCTTTAATTGTCTACAGAAATGAAACCACGCGATGAATTCCGCTCAAAATTTGACAGTAATCAGCTGAAAGATGCTACTTGTCAAAAAGTAATGTGACACTGCGAGTGTCCTCTGACAGATTTTCTAAGAACTTATTGACTTGCCCTCGTAATATAAAGAACGAGGAATAGAGAAAACATTTTAAAGAATTATTGGAAGGAATTAAGGACAATGAAACTAAAGTACAACAAGACACGGATAGATCTATAACGTAAGAAAAAGAAGAAAATAAAGGAAAGGGAAGGATTGAAGGCCGAAGACATAGATAAAGCGTTGCTTAAGATAAAGAAGAGTAAGGCGATAGGAATTGATAGGATATCTATGGAAACATGATTATATGCAAGCGAAGGTTAAGATCGAAGTTGGTGTGTCTACTACAAAAAAGTGTGGAAAGGTACGATGTGGTAGGCACGATGCCGAAAATTTGAAGGAAAGCATAATTGTACCATTATGCAAAAGAGGAGACGAGGAGAAGGTAACGAATTATAGAGGAATCTCGTTATTATGCACGTATAAAATATATGCAGAGATAAGATATAGATTGGAAAGAAAAAACAAAAGATATGATTTCAGATAATCAAGCTGGATTTAGAAGAAGAAGGTCAACGTTGGATAATATTTTCATACTGATGTACTTGATACAGAGGGAAAGAAGAAGGGCAAGAAAAAAGTATATATATTTAAAGGCCGGATTTAAAGGTCGCCTTCGATAAGGTGGATAGAAATAAACTATGGGAAATTCTAAGAGGCAAAAGGTAAGTGAATACCTAGTAAGGAAGATAGAGAAGATGTATGCGAAGATGGAGATGAGAATAAGGTCGAAACAAAGATACACAATTCAGGACAATGAAACGAGTAAGGCAGGGGTGTGTGATGAATGAAATGAGTCCATTTTTGTTCAACTTATATATTGCGGATATAGATAACAATTTAGAGAAAAAGGGGATAGAAGACAGGGACAGGATATGGTCGTTAGCATGCGGATGACTTAATTTTGGCTAATATTTATTTTAGGGAAGCGTTACGAGGTATAATGTGCACGTTCAAAAAATTCTTGGAGGAAAGGAAATTGGAACTGTATATAATGTGTATAGAAAAGACGAAAATAATGATTTATGGAGGGACAGAGAAGAAAAGGAAAGAGAAATGGAAATGAAAAAATAAGGAGCTGGAAGTGTAAGAATATTTATGTTTTATTTTGGATAGGAAGGGGGACCAGAATTATAGGGCTGGGAGAAAAAAGGTGAGTTAGAAAAAATAATAATGTTGGATTATGTGAGTGGATTTTTAATTTAGATTTATGCACTCCAAGGTATGTAATTATGAGTGAGTTGGTAATGGATAAACTTAAAGAGAAGTGGAGTTTAAGGGCAAGAAGGTATGAGAAAAAGATTAAATCTGGAAATACTGGTATTTCTGGTCAGAGAGTGCTGAGAGAAAAAACAAAGATTGGGTTGGAATAATAAATATGATGTGGAGAAAAAGAGATATTATAACAGAAAGGTAGGGAATAGAGTTTAGAGAAGTGATGGGTCATGGGTAAAAAAAATTCGAAAAAAATTTAATAAGTAGGGACAGGGATTTAAAAAAGCAATGAGAAAGGGAAAGAACCGATAGAGCAAGAGATATAAAAAGATAGGAATCGAGAATAGGTTACCAAATTATTTGAGGAATGAGAATATGGAAATGAGAAGAAAGGATGAAGTCAGAGCGTTAATTAAATTAAGATGCGGGAATCCGGAGGGAAAAAATAAATACTGGTTAGAAAAAAAAAGGGGGGGGTGTCTTTTCTGTAACGCAGGTGAAGATAACTTAGAACATTACGTTAATGAATAAGGAGGTAGCAAAAAGCTTTGAAGAGTTAGAGATGGATAACGATGAGATAATAAGAAAAATATGGGGAGAGGACTTAGACGAACTTAAAGAAAGAGTGCTGAAAAAACTATGGACAGAAAGAAGGTAGTAAAAAGAAAGGAGGAAAGGATACGTATATATGTATATAAGTAGAGTATAGCTGATAACTGATACAAGGTTAGGAAGTAGAAAGGATAAGCAAATAAGAAAGTATGAAAGAAAGAATGAGTGAGTTAAGAAGAATTGTAAGCTAAGTCCCTTTCTCGGTTTGTATACGCCGAATAAATAAATATTCTATATTTTCAAATTAAATATTATACATCATTATTCAATATACCTAGTTTATTAAGATTCTATAAGTTTATTTAAGTCTTTCACAAATCAATAAAATTAGAACATATTTAAAACTTTATAGTATATTTTTCTCTTAACATTAAGTTGGAGGAAAAGTTCTGCGATATTTTGTTAGCTCAAAATTATATGTACAATATATCTTCATTAAAAATAAACAAAATTTAAATTTTAAAAAAGCTTGAAACCTTTACTTTTGAATGGTGACTATATTTTTTGAAATTATGTACTTTGTAATTTTTTATATAGAAAACTACGAGCTGAAAAAGGGAAATTTTATTCTCACTTTGTGGGTCTGTGCCAAAAAAATTTGCGAAAATATCGTGAAAGTTTGGAGTTTTCCTCATAAAATCGTTTTTTTTTTTAATGTTTCTACGGTTTTTTATTCTTGAGTTATACGCGAGTTAAGTAAAAAAGGAGCATTTTGACTTGATTGCTCATAACTCCATTAAAAAAATTATCGTACTGCAATTTAAAAAAAAACAGATTTTTAAAGCTTAAACGTTGCTCTATTGAGGTAATAATTGCTAATTCAAAAAAATAGAATATATTATGAATTTGAGCTAAAAATATGATATTACTATCATTATAACCATTGCATAATAATAGTAATATCACATTTCTATAACTCAAATGTCTATAGTTTACATTTAAAAATTAGCATATTATTCAATAGAACAAAGTTTCAAATTTAAGAATCTATTGTAATAATTACAGTACGATAATTTTTAACAGAGTTATAAGCAATCAAAATCAGAATGCTCCTTTATTTAATCTGCATGTAACATGATAATAAAAAGTCGTAAGAACATTTTTTAAAAACAAATTTTTAAAAAAGCTTTCACGTCAGATAGTCGAAAATTTCGCACCAAATATATTCTGTATGACACAAATACATATATTGTAGCAACATGACAGTTTCTATACTAGCGCTTAATAAATTGATTTAATTTATGTAGATTGGAATAACTGTAAATTACAAAATGCTTAAATAAAAACCTTCCTTAAATAATCAGTAATAAAGTAAAAGAATCCCGCCACCATATATGGCAGGAGATTCAAATTATTCAAATCTACTAGAAAAGTAATGGAAACACGCAGCAAAAATTTTAAAAAATGTAAACTTAATAGACAGAAATTATAGCAAACATAAATAATACAATTTTATCGATAAAAAGTGAGAATGATGATTTTTTTTACTGAAAAGTGAACAAACGTGAGTCTTCTTTAAAACAGAGTAAAGTAAGAATAGTAATTCCGCAACAAGTCTATGCCTATAATTGTAAAAAAACATTTTAGAATTTGGATGTTTTTATTGAAATGAGTCTTCATCTTGTTTATTATTTAATACGCAAATATTTGGAAATAAATATTTCATATAATGATAGAGTAAGACAGTACTAATAGAAAAATACGGGATATGTTGAATTATTTAACTACAGAAGTTAGATTTGATGATCATAAAGTTGGAAATCGTCATATGAGATAATCAAGGTATTTCTAATATGAAATGACTTATGCTATTAAGTCATAGAAAATTGTTGCTAAAGCACGCACGCACGCACGCACGCACGCACGCACGCACGCATAAACAAGTATAGCCCTTAATTGCAATAAATCAATAAGAATTAAAATATTCATAAAGTACATAAAATTTTTAATTATTTTTCAAATAATTGTAAATAGTGTAGGTAATAATCCCATTAATTAATTCTTGTTTTCAAAATAGGAATATTGCACATTTTAATTTTACTCATTAGCATTTATGACTATATATTATTAGGTGTTGGAATTAATTCGTAGCGTTTTTAATGAAAGAATGTTATTTATTTCACATGAGCATTAAAAAATACATTAATGAAAGTACTTCCCATCACTTGTAAAACGCTACGAATTAATTCCAACACCTAATACAATAGGCAAAATTTATAATAAAGTTGATAAATTTGTAATAAAGTTGATATGAAAACATTATCTATTCATGTTTTTACAGACAAAGGGCAAAGCATTCAAAATCAGCAAAAACTATTACATACTCTTTGGAGTCACTGATACAAGCTGTTAACTATGTCAAAAATGGATTAGGAATTCAAACAGCGTCTAAAAAATATGGCATCCCATATGGTGTAAGAAGAACTTTACGCGATAAAATTGCTGGAAAAACTCCTGTAGAAAAGAGACGAAGTGCGCCTATTTACTTAATAATGGAGGAAGAAAACAAATTGGTAGTGAATTTTACATGTATAAAGCAAAGTTTCGCTGTGACTAAAGATCAGCTATTAGATAGCGTCAAAGCATTCGTCAAGGAATTAAAAAAGAAAGTTCCTTTTCAAAACGATCGTCCAGGATGGCATTGGTATGAAGGGTTCTTGAATCGTCATCCGATCTTGTCGATAAGAATATCTCAGAATCTAAGTAAAAGTCGAAGTTCCACTTCTGAATCACAAATTAGAGCTTGGTTCGAAGAAATAAGAAATTATCTGGCAGGAAAAGAATTATTAAATATTGACGCAACAAGAGTATTTAACTCTGAATCGGCCTTCTACTTAAAAATCAAGTTATTAAGTCCTGATAAAAATCAAGTTATTGTAAAAAAGGGCGTTAAAGTTGTACACAAGTGTATTATCACACTTATCATGGCCAGCACAGCTGGTGATATGCCACCTCCAATGGTTCTTTATGCATGTAAGAGACTACAGTCTGCTGTTATTTACAATTGCCCCAAAGGCTGGAGAATAGGAAAATCGGAAAGTGGTTGGATGATACTGAAACGTTCTACGAATATATAACAAATGTTTATTATCCATGACTTATTATACTTAGTTAAAAATAAGGTACAGATTCCTGTCATACTATTTGTTGATGGCCATTCATCACATCTCACTATGCATTTGAGTATACTCTGCCAAGAAAAGAGTATTATACTGATTATTCAAATGCTATACACATCCTGCAATCATTAGAGTATTATAGGTTTTTTCCATCCTCTTAAAGTATCATGGAGGAAAATTGTTCATCAATGGAAATTGGATACTGATGGAACTCGCTTGAGTAAACACCATTTTGCTGGAGAATTAAAGAAGGCAATAGATTTTACAATCTGCATTCAAGATTCTACAATCTGCATTCAAGGCAACTGGTTTACATCCATTTAATCCAGATGCGATTAAATATGAAAAACTCATTAACCAAAAAAAGTCAGAGGAAGAATGTACAGAGCAGTCAGCAGCTACATCAATGGTACCAAAAACTGCGTTAGAATTATTGGAAGAATGCATTCCTGATGATCTTTTAAGCCAATTTAAAAAGAATGTTAATGACGAGATGGAACGGAGATGAAAAAAATGAAAGTCTCTTTTTGGAAAAAATTTCGTTCTCTTCTAGGTATCTTTGTCTCAGATTGTACATTTTAATATTTATCAATAACAGTTTTAGACATTGTTTCTTATAAGTTAATATTATATTTTATGGATGTATTTGGTCACATGCGTCACATTTCAACAAAACATTATCTAAAATATAAAAATTGTATAAATTGTTTCATTATTATGTCTAAATATCTGTGCAAAATTTAAGCACAATTCTTTTATTGGTTTAAACGTTATTAAATTTAAACGTTATTAAATTTTTTTATTAGATTAGATTCTTAAAACGTAAAATCGCATTTTTAAATACTTATTTACAAATTTGATAAGGAAATAATATTAAAAATTAAATCAAATTTATACTGATTTATACTGACTTATACTGATGAAATAATAATAAATATTCGTACAAAAATTTATTTGATTCACATATATTCTCATTTAATAGCTACTGAACTAAAACTGCAGAAAAATATAGTCATTTTGCTGCATAAAATTATTATTAAGTCAAATTATTTATTGTTTTGCTTTTGCAGTTGGTTTCAGGTTGTATTCATGGACTATAA